GTAACGTTTATATACTGGATCGAATTTCCTACATTTTTTAGCCGATTTCAACAAAACTTCACAGGACTACATAAAATTACCTTGTGATGGTTCTAACGGCGCCAAAAATGGGAAAAACAAAATTGTTTTTTAACAAAATCAATGTAAAAACACGATTAAGACACATCGGGAGAATGAAAGGGGGACAACTCACCCACGAAAATGTAAACAAAAGAGCATAGCATGATGAAAAAAAAAGCCGAAATTGACGAAAACAAAATTTTATCGTCTAATGTTCATATTATTAAAGAGGAAAGATCAAAAAGTATTTTGGGGTATTTTTTACATTTTTTAATCGTTCCTAGCACGTCTGAAATTTTCGTTAAAAATATTTTTTTTTTGGTCAAAAAAAAAGGACAGATAATCAATCATTTTCAATCATTTTTTCGATTTGATAAAAAAATTTAAAATCTGACTTTGATATTCTTTTAAAAATCAATTATCATTTTTTTCAAACTGATTTTAATAAAAACAGAAATTATACTGTTTATTTAAAATATTTTGAACCAAGCTTAACTTAGCTTCTGCGCCGAAAAAGTGAAATTATTTAAGTGAACAAATTATTTACCTCGTTACTTTTAAGGAAAACTTTCAGCGCTCTAATTTTTTTTTTTTTTTTTTTTTTTGTACTTAGCTTTCATTTTTACGTTTACGATGCTTTATGGAAAATATAAAGAAATTAAAAGATAAGACTGTTAATAGTGAGATTAAATTTCATAAGAAAAAGGTATCTAATTAATTTAGGTACCTTTCTTATGAAATTTTATCAGAAAATGTACATAAAATGCTATAATTTTATGTACATTTATTACATTTTACTGTGTTATTTGTATTTCCATTCATTTTATTATTAATTTTGATATTTCATTTATGGAAAAATGTCATAACTCAGATTAATATAAAAATAAGATCATATAAATTAAAGTTTAGCAGTAGTTATATTTCATAAGATGATACTGTTACTTGTAGGTACCCTTCTCAGTTGAAATTGAAAACTCAAATTAACTTCTCCATACCTGTTTCGCAAAAGTAAGGGGCTTAACAGCGGAGAACAATGCTGAACTCAAATAATGCAACTAAATTGTATTCTGGTTGGTCTTCCGTACTTGATAATTACTGTCCGACTATAAACACAAAAATTACATTTCTTAATTACCATGGCTAATCTGATTGGTCCAAATTATACAATTTTCAAAGCGCTAGACAATGACAATCTCACACGGACATTTTGAAAGGTTGACATTGCATTTAACTAATGTTAAAATATTTTTAAAAATTCAATTTAAAATTTTTTTAAATCTTTTTAAAATTAAAGAAATAATTGTATTAAAAATTCAATTTTCATTGAAAAATTTTTTTGCTTTCAGAAAATATTGTCCATATTCATAAAAACAAATTAAAACAAATAAAAGCATTTGAAACTAAATAATATATTTCTTTTATTGAGTTTTGTATGTTACAATTCACAGCTGATTTTCAGGTACGTTGGCCAAAAAAAAAAAAAAAAAAACACATGATTTGCATTCTTCAAAGCCTTGTGCTTTTAACTATTGTAATCACTAAAACCGATGGTCTCAATTTCTAGAGTTTTTCATAAAATTAGTTATGGGGTGTTAATAAATATAAAAAAAAAAATATTTCTGCCATGACTTTAATAAAAAAAAAAAAACATATTTATAATAATTTCGATCATCTGTGAATAGTTTCTGAAAGTTTCATTAACATCTGACAATTATTTTTTTATTTTTGCAAGATTTTCCAAATTAATGTGTGTAAATACAAAAAAACGCGCTAAAAATTATCTATGTTATTTACTACCCCTTGTTGCGACAAAGAGAAACAAGGTTTTTAAATCAAAATTTAGAATATTCTAAAAAGATGGAAAAATTTTAAAAATAATTAAAAAATTTAGTCTATCCTCGTCATAAAAACATAAGCATTTTGACGATAAAATTTTGTTTTCATAAACTTTGGCGTCTTTTTTCATCAGACTATGCTCTATGTTTTAGCGATTCCGTGGAGTGACTTAGGTTAAAAACCCAGGTTTTTGTGTGTGTGTGTGTGTGTGTGTGTGTGTGTGTGTGTGTGTGTGTGTGTGTGTGTGTGTGTTTCTTTTATATATGGGATCGGATTTCTTACATTTTCAGCCGATAAAACAAACATCCACTTTGGGGGGCAGGTAGTATTTCTTATTGTCTTGCACACTTTTTTCTTTATTTTTACATTCAGAATGCTTTAAAAATTCCATTTACAAGACAAGTGTTTATAATAAAATTCTATTCACCAATCGATAGACTCATAACGATTGAAAACAATGTTTTGTTTGAATTTGGATTTGACCAATTCGTAAAAAAAAAAAAAATAATAATTAAGACATGCGTGTCCGTCAACCTTAAACAATAATCTTTGTCAATTTTATTTTTCAGTCTTTATGATGGTCGATACTTGATCTATCTCTTTGTTATATCCCCTGGCAACGCCGGGCTCTACTGCTAGTATATATATATATATATATATATATATATATATATATATATATATATATATATATATTGTTAAATATAACATACAATGAATGCCTATTATGTCTGATCATGAGCCGCTAAACTTCGTATGTTTGCTTTAATTTCGGGTGAAAATAAAGACAAAAATTACTGCATGTATATTTCTCTGTGTCCATGGTTTTGTATATTTTTAGAGCCATTAAATCAATATTTATACAGAAAGCAATACAAAATTATGTAATTAGGTTTGATCATTAGGGAAGGCACTAGCAAGAGATTCTTCTTCGTTTCAATCTGAAGCGAAGAATTATCTTTCAGGTGGAGTAATAGATTCTGGCTCGGATTGAGGAATCGCAAAATCAAGTTCGAATTTCTAGGGTATTTCCACTTACGTACAAATAACCTTGTAAAAGGTATGAACCCATCTCTTCTACCCACCAGCTATCGGTAAATAACAAGGTTCTATAGCCTTGATTGGCAACCGGTGTCGGAGAAGGACAACTCTAAATTCAAAAACTCCAACTATGTGTTAAATAGTCTCGCCAACGCAGCTAAGCTAAGTGAATGCAGCTACACCCTGGAAGTGAATCTAAACAGTGATAAGGCTCTGGATTTGGATCCGAATGAGTTTTCATCCTTAGTATCTTTCAAGACTGAGGATATCTTTGTACGTGGAATATTTAGATGTTTTTCTAATTCTCCAACTGTCAATCACCCACTCACTTTGATTGCATCCTACTTTTTCGGGAGGTCTTCTTTTATTTTCTATATCCTTTCTGGTTTGAAATATGGATAGCGGCTCGGAATGTGGTATCGGAGAGCAATGTTCGAATTCTATTCGAGTTCGTTCTGGGTTCTTAAAAAACTCTGAATTCAAAATCACCATTTATTGGTTGAATAGTCTCACCAACACGCTTAGTGAGTATAGTTACATCCCTGAAGTCAATAAGGGAGGGCTTCCTCCGAGGAGTGAGAAGACCCTGGATCTTGATCTAATCTAATGATCTTTCACCACTGGAGATTATCCGTGGAATATCCAGATGTTTTTCTAATTCCCGAAAGTCAATCACCCACTCATTTTTAATAGCATCTTACTTTTTCGGGATTTTTATTGCTGAACTTCTCCCTGAACATAGGTCACTTTCAAAGAATTCCTGAATAAAAAACTGAAGCGTCGATACCAGTTTTTTTTTTTTTCTGGGCTTCATGTAATGCTCTCAGAAAGCCTTCGAATTTCAATCAACTTTGTATATATTTGCTATGAAAGCAGCAGTTATGCAACACACGCAAGTTCATTTAGTGGCGTTCACTAAGATCTGACTTACCCCTCGAGAGAATTTCTGTTTGTGCATGCGCAATAAGGTCCCATTTGTTCACTTGTTAAATCAAGACCGCGCAACCGATCCAAAATCCGAGTTAGTTTCCAAATAGAGCAAGCATATTTAGAATCTTTTTCTCCTTCTTTACTACATTAATAAAAACAGATTCTATGTTCTCTCCTTCCATTTATTCTCTTTTTATCTTACTATGTAAGTAAACGGATGAACTTTTTTGAAATTATCTCAGCTTCTCTACATTTTCAAAACAATGAACGCCTTTCACTTAATAATATTTTCCCATGGCTTATCTTATTACACGTTTTTATATTCCTTAAGATTGGAGATAAGCATCTGTTTAATTTTGTGGCCTGCTTCAGGCGTTATTTCGCCTTTGTCTCTGCTCAAAGGCATCACCTCCAATGCAGCACAATAATGGACAGACCAATGAATATAAGTGCCTCTTCATTTTTATTAATATTATCGAAACTGCAAATCACTCACAACACTAACTGTAATTCATTTAACAAGAAAAAACATCGCTTTAATAAAAAAAAATACAGGCTGTCCGGGTTTTATGGTAGGCATCAAACAGTCATTTTTATTTTTACCCAAATGTTTTCCTAATGTATTCACTTTTGTTGTCTGTATTCATAAGTCATGAAAAATTCCATATTGAAGATTGAGAACAAAATACACATAGATAGATAGATAGATAGATAGATAGATAGATAGATAGATAGATAGATAGATAGATAGATAGAAAAAAACTGAGCTGTTTACAAAGAAAGCTGCAATTTGAAATGTATATTTTCCATGCATGACCAAACCAATATTTAACGGCAATGTCTTTCACGTCGACTGCAGTAATCGAATGATTCTGGTGATGGCAACACAAATACTGACGATGATGATGATGATGATGACGATGATGATGATATACATACTGTTTCTTGCAATGATAATAATAAGTAATAATTTTTATGATTATTTATCACAAGGCTTTTTGATAAAGTCTCCAATCCTGTAAAACAGGTTTGAGACTTCATAGAATAGTGAAACCAGTTTCAATATGAAGTTAAGGTATTTCTTCAAAATGACGTGGCCAATTTGAAACAATAGTGAAGTTAATTTACCCCGTTAAAAACCGGTTCTCGTACGATAACCGAAGTTAAGCAACGTCGAGCCTTGTTCAGTACCTAGATGAGTAACCGCTTGGGAATACCAAGTACTGTAACCTTAGTTGTGCGCGCAAATCCCCTTGAGAAAGGTATGAATCCACCTCTACTTCCCCAAGCTAAGGGTTAATTAGTAGGATTTGTATAAGTAAATTAGTATTAACTCCAAATTCTTACAATCTAAAAATAATTTCTGGATTTAGATAATCTTCAAAGGGTTGATAAGCTGTAAAACAACAAATAAATCCATCTTCAAAATGACGAGAGTTGATTCGTTTGGTTTCGTTTGGTTTGCTTAATGGCACATCAACTCCTTCATGGGTCATTTAATGCCGAAATTTTATTTTCTTGGGAGCTTTGGTAATTTTTTTCCAAATAATTTTGCTGGCATTTTTTTTTTATTTTTTACTATGCTATTTTTTTTTTTTTTTATGAAAATGTATCGCTGGTAATTTTTTCTAATGTATCTTTATATTCTCATGTTATGACTCCATTTCCCATAGCTGGGAATCTAAAGCTGATACAATTCCAGGGTTAGGGTAAACCTGGGAACAACAGAAGTGGTTCTACCCTCCTCAAAACCCTACCGATCAGAAGCCATGCTGCCGGATATAGTTTATCGTCATACCCAGAACGGACGACGAGAGTTGATTTATAAGAAAGGTTTCCAATAGTGAAACTGGTTTCAAAATGAAGTTATGTATTTAACTTCAAAATTACAAAGGATGGTGGATGCCTTCTCTAATCCTATAAAACAAGTTTCATTTTAGGTCGAATAAAGAATAAAGTAAATACATTTCTCTTCAAAATTGTAAGTTTATTTTTCAACATATTTATCATTTAGTGCTAGAGATTCTTCCAAATATTTTATCCACATTTTTATTCTAGTTTTATTCGAGTTGATTTTTGTACCAAATGGGCACAACAACTTCAGTTTGGGCATCGGATAAAGTGTTGACCTTTCACACACTCAGTTTCAATTCCAGGGACATCCATCGCGCTTATGTTTGTCAAATCGATACTGTATGGCGGATGTGCAAAGAATGTGAATTTCACACTTCTCACTGTTTCTTGATAGCAATGCAGCGTTGCATCGTCGGGTCCCGAAAAATGTTTTTCTTTCAAGCTTTGGATGTGTTGAACGCTCGCAAGGATTCACTATTTTCATACGTCCGAGAATTTCGATCAACGCGCAACTTTATTGTGCCAAAAATTGTATCCCTGATCGTCGCTTTATGGTAACGGAGTATCGATGATTATCGATGACCCTATTACTCAACACTTTCATGCAAAAGAACCGACATTACCCATATTTGAACATGACTTTATATACACGTTCAAATGTTTAGCGGGTAGAAACACTTTTGGTAAGATTTTTATACTCCTGGTACATTTGACCAGCAATCGATTTTTGATGGACTCATGTAAATCCAAAAGAAAAATAAGACATAGAATTTAAACAAAGAAATATTAAAAAATAGAAATTAAATTAAATCTGAAGAGTTCAAAGCAACTTTCAGTGTCTGTAGTTAAGGTATTTACATAATGGCGGGAGTGAAAAGAATACACCTTTTCATTATGAAAAGTCACCGAGAATGAGATAGATCTCGCGCCGCCTGTAATTATTCTCAGAGGTACAATAATTCAAAATCTTGCTGCCTGTGGTTATCATTAGTAAACGGTAATCCAACAACTGTTTCTATTCCCACTATTAACAACGTTACGCGGGCGATAAACTTACTTTTCCATTAATATTCGTATTATTAAAGCTGCTTTAATGATCAAACTATACATATGATTAGAACACTGTAGCAATAATTATAAGCAAAATGGTTTATAATATGTTTGGTATACCTGTCTCTTTACGTGATTGGCGAAGATATTTCTCCATATTTCCCTGTCTTTTTGTCGATCTAAAAAATTCTTCCTTCTTGATAATCCCTTTCTTTATTTTTGTCAGTTTCATTTTGATCAAAATTATCAAATTGATTACTTAACATCTTTTTTTTTTTCGTTTCGATTCTTCTTGGTACCGATTTGTAAATGTTCAATTCATCAAACATTTCTTTTCTTATTATGTGCCTTAAATTTTTAACTTGTCTCTTTCTAATAATTACTAACACGAGCAAAAACAATAAAATACTAAAACAACAATAATAAATGAAAACATGTATAAACAACACTGAATAAAACAGTGAAATGCAAAAATATTGTTAAATTTTACTAATTTCATGCAGCTTTGTGTGGAGTAAAACAAAAAAAATTTAAATTTGCATTCATTTTCAAAGAATCAATTAAGTTATTTACATGCGGGCGATTTTCCTCATCTTTGCTATTATTATCACTACGTTTCCGCTGTTGTGCCCTCTTGTTAATTTGGGTAACATTCAGGGAATTACGAACTGAACCATTTATTTAATCTATTGGCGCTGATGAGGAATTGTTCTCGTTCTGCTGCCCATATATATAGGAGATAATTCGTCTTTTTCTTAATTTAGTACTTCTCAGTTATAGCTCACATTGTTTCCACTACGTTTAAGTTTGCACTACTCCGGTTCATGGATTGAATTCACAATTTACTATGTCACCAATTTCAAAAACCAACTCTTTAATCCACTCGGCTATTATTATTATTATTAAAATGATTTCCTTTGATTTATGTTGTATATACATTTCCACCAAGGTCCCAACCATAGACCTAAGGTCAGAGGTCAGATACCATTTTTTCTGTTTTTCTTTGCTGCTGTGACTTCCATCTTATTGATGTCCTGTGGTGTCCTCAAAAGATCTGTATATTAAATCTTAATCAGGTGCATGGTTACCGTTTATATATAATCACGATTTTGAAGACCTCTAATAACAATAACCTGTGTTTTATATTCCGTTTTATTTTTAGTAATTTTAATTTTTCTTGGTTCCTATTTAACAGGAGTTCATGAGTTCATGAGTTCACAACATACAACAATAGAATAAACGTGATGTTAGTTTGTCATTGACAGAGTTTAAACATATATCTAAGTCAAAAAGCGAAAACACATGAAAAGATCAAAGTTAATATCGTTTTATTTAACTAAAATAATGTTCTTGGAACAAATGCATTATTTTGAAATAGAAGAAATTCTTTTTTTTTTTTCTTTCGTTACGTTAAACCCAAAGTTATATAAATATCGATATCAGTCTTTTGATCATGTTTTGTAGTAAAATACATAATTGCATTAGAAGCGTTACAATTTCTTCCTTATTAACCGATTAAAAGTGGCAGACATAAATTTTAATGCTTCGATTACAAATTGTCGTCTTCTGGTATTTATTGTCTACATATAATCATTTTTATTTGTCAGCTGAAAATAGGAAATTTACTGCAAATTTTCTATAGTTCTAAGATTCATGGAAAACTTAAAAATAAAAAAAGATTTAAAATAAGCCAAAAATGAAATTATTGCAATATAAAATTGGATCTCGCTTCGGAATTACGAGAGCGTTTCCCCCACAATTTCTTTTCATTAACCGAGGTTGACATGGAATCGTGTTACGTTCTTTAGTTTGAGTTACTGCTGATGGTGAACTTTCATTTAAACGTTCTAATCCTTATCTCCCTGATAAATATGAAAAAGAAAATCTGTTTCGGATATTCGTCATGGACACGATTTATCAATACTCGGACTAATCTGGAGTAGTCATTTCTGGAGACGTAGTCTCTCATGCCACGTGTTCAGTTCTCAGCGTGATAGAAACTGTTTAGCATTCAGTTATCTTGATACAGAACAGTAGATCCTCCTATTGATTTTTCGCTATCAAATTCGCAGAATTTGTTTCACCAGACTAATCATTATTTTTTAATAATTTCACCCCAAGCAAGGCAGAAACGCCACTAGTAGGCAGAATGTCACAGGGAGTGAAAGTGAGGGAAAAGGCTGTGGGTAGGGGCGATTGAGAAAAGGATGAAAGATGAACGGGATTCAAGAAGATAGACGATTGCGATTGACGTTGCATTTAAATTTTTGAAGATTGTAGTCTTCAGGGGAAAAGTAAATGGTCGGGAGAGCGAGAAAATAAACTGTTGGAGTAGTAAAAAGGTGGGACCTAGATGCCAATCTAGTAGCACGCTTCAATTCACATAGTCAGGGCACCATGGGAAAAAGCTCGTCAGAGCAGTTGTCATGAAAATATTTATACGTCACGTCGGTGAGAAAGTGACTGAAGACGAATGACAACTCAGGATCGATCAAATTGCAGATCTTCCTTTGGATTTTATCAAGAACCTCAAGATGAATAGCAGGGGCACTACACTAGATATGACAACAGTATTCAATGACGGACCAATGTGCAAGATGAAAAACCTTCTGGCACAACACAGTGATCCAACTTCACTTGCATTAGATATAATCGTTCGACTTCAAGTCAGTTGAAGACGTGAGGCCAAGAAGGCGCAGTGTGTTGCTCTCCATGAGTCTTGCATCAGCTATATTGATGGCAGGCAGGAAAATTTCTCTCTATTGGTTAAATGAGGGCAGTTTCGTTTTGGAGGCATTAAAATGTACAAGCCATTTCCTGCCTCAGTTATTCACTGATTAGAGGTCATTTTCAGGAACATCGGCCAGGTTAACTTTGTCAGCTCTGACGGATTTGATATTGAGACAGGAGTATATGATAGTGTCATCTACATAAATAACTACTTGGAAACTAATGACACCAGGAAGATAATTGATATCCCAAGATAGAGATTTAAGGGACACCCGCATTCGTATGAAAGGATCTGGAAGCGAACCCATTCAAAATGACCTTTATTTCACGATTTGGTAAGAACGATTAGATTAAATCAGGCACTCATCTTGTAATACCGAAGCCCTGAAGCTTATGTAGAAGGGCAGCGTGCTAAATCCTGTCAAACGCACTCGAGATATCTAAAGCCACAGCTCGAACTCCAGTGATAGTCGATAGGACACCAGCAGTAGACCTGGCAAAACGGAAGCCATATTGTTTGTCAGAGAATAGGTCGTGAGAGGCAAAAGATGCTTAACCACTTCAGCATTGGTTAAAGCCTCTAATACTTTGCCAA